AGTACAAAGTCAGAACAACCTGGAACAACTTTCAAAAATATGAATTTTAAAAAAAGGGGGGCTAACTTCATACACTCAGATATGTGACCTTTCCTGGCTCGTTCCACACTCTCCGTCGAGAGGGTGAAAGATTCCGCTTTTATACAATTTTGGAAACGGTTTGGGAGGTGATTGCATTTCGTTACAATGAGTCATAGGGCGTTATCTAGCGAATGTGAGTCTACTTCTAATGGTGTGGCTCGCTTGCCAGCAATGAGTCATAGGGTGGTGTCTTTTTTGAAAAAGGTAATTTTGTACTGATATGGTCTACGCGAGGACTAGATTCACTCGAATGAGTCATACAGGTGACTCGTCTGAATTCTATTTCTATTCTCTATTCTAACAGCGATTTGTATTGAGAGCGATACCTTCTTTCATTATAAAATCATTATAAAATTTCAATATGACTTTTATCATAAAGGAAAATAAGAAATCTTTAATATTTTAATTTTTAAATGTGCAAATATATGTTGAATATTATTTAAGTTTCTTCAGACATACTTTACATAGGGTAGAATAATTCAATAATACAATTAAAGTTATTATTAGCATGTCTAAAGTATAAAAGATATTGCTCTCTTCGTCTAACAGTTACTATAGTATATCTGACTCTCTCTTTCTCTCTTTCAGATCATACAATACTCGCATCTCGCTCGGATTCGCGTTCCTTATGCTACGCATATACAATTCTATCTTTTTCAGGTTTGTGAGTGGCGCTTCAGCGTTTGACGCTCGATATTTATATTAATTTTGGTAAGTATATATATTTGTTAATAATAATATTGATAAAAGTGATGTTAGCGGTGGTAATAATGATTCTAATATCAGATTAATAATATATCGTGCAGATAGAAATGGTCAGCATTCTCATTAGTACAGGAAATCAATGAAATTAAATTGTTTATATATATAAGATTTTTATTATTTTTATATCTCGCGAATGGTTGGGAATTTGATAGGAGTGTATAGGAAATATATTGTAGGACTTTCACTAAAAAATAATATAACATTGAAAAATTTCATCATTAATATATGTGTTTGTTAATAACAAATTATTAATTAAATAAATTGGTACTTTTTAATTCGCATATTGGTATTATTATGTTTTCTTTATTTAAGAGGTTTTGAATTTCTAATATCATCTCGTTTATGAGCACTCTTTATTATATTGTCATAAATATTTCGTAAATAAACAATCGCAGAAATAAAAGTTATTATTATTTTTTATGGGTGTGCTGATGCGGAGTCTATGTATACGGGCAAATAGTATGTACCGGAGCAAATTTATGTCACCGTGTTTTATGAGATATGGTGATTCAACAAAAGTATGCATTAATTAGGTATAAGCGTTTAATAAGAATTATGTTTTACATATTGTTTCCGAGAGAAAGATTTAAGTTACTTAAATATGTGAAAGGAGTATTTTTAGTTATCATAGTTTAGAAAATATAACAAGTTTAGATTTAAAGACCTCGAACGATGCGGTTAATGAGTATATATACATTTGTTAATTGCACTCTTAGAGGACATTTCTTTTATAACGGGTGTCTTTTCACTTGGAATTTTATAGCGCTTTTATTAAAAATGTGACAAGATTTTGACTTATATAAAAGTTATTATATATGATCTGAGGTATAAGTCAAAAATATTTATTGACATGGTCAGTAATTTGTTTATGATTGTTTGTAAAAGTAAGTTGCAAAAATAAACAATTATGTAGTAAATATTTTTCTATCAAACAATTCTAATGATTATTTCTTATACACGTATGTATTGTTTTTATCTCAAACTATTCGTTTTCTAATTTTATTTTCATTTATTAAGAATTTATATGGCTATCCTAGTCTTACTCTCTATGAACTGGTATTAAACTATCCTCGTCTTTTATGGGACAAACGTTCAATTTTTAATCTTGTTTATTAGTTTAATTAATTTAAATAGAAAATCGGCGTTAACGTTACTGGTGTTTAGGAGTATGAGAGATTCTATTTTTATCATAATAATTAAGTGTCAAAATTTTCGTTCAGAAATGAAATTTTTCGGTCTTAAAATGTATAAAAGACTAAAATATTAATGTAAAAGTGATTTGGTCTTTATAAGTCTAAAAGGTAGGAAATTCAAAATGGCGGATGTGAAACTTTAATAATTTATAACTCGAGAACGGTAAGAGATAAAAAGATGGGGTTTCTTTTGTTGTGTTCAGACAATCAAAGGCATTATTTTAGGTTGTTTAAAATTTCTATGTTTTATGGATTTCCATAATTTTTAATTAGATCTCGGAATTAAGAAGAGATATGATGTGGGGGTTTTTGTGAGGTTACTTGACATGCTCTGTTGAGTGTCTGCAGTGATTTTATTCATCATCTTTAATAATATTTTTATGATAAATTTTATTGTTAATTAGTTTATTTTGAGAGATCCAACAATGATTTATAACCAAAAGTTATTTGACTTTTTGTGATAGTTCCAGTAGTCACATTAGCTAGGTTTGTTAATAATATAATTAAATTGTTTATAACAATCATGTTTAAGAAATGTTAGTAAGATAATTATTATTTTAGCGTAATAATATTCTTTAGGCACAAAAGGTTATGTTCTTATAAATAATTTGCTTTTAATTAATTTATTTATATTTTATTTTAATTTTCTGAGTTTATTCTTATGGAACATGTATTTATTCGTGTGTTGAATTGAATTTATATTGCATAAAGGATCTCATAAAGCTTGTAATATTCATTTACGATCAATTTTAGTGATTCTGGGGAGTTTTAACAAGCAATTGTCCAAAAGTTTATAGTGTGATTCATGAAAATGGGGTTTAAGCTTGAAAAAGTACCTTAAGGCAGCCATGTTCTCTAGGCTTGTGCGTGCTACTTTAAGAACGCGTGCTCGCATCAGCTGAGTGATTGTTATGACAGTTAAATTAAGGTGTGATTATTTATTCTTATATTGTTTTCAGGTGCTGTGCAATATGGATGGAAATCGAAAAATTTATGCGGCTGGAATATAGCGGTGATTATACTGTTAGACGTGACAAGTTATAAAAGTAAAATCCATGTAAGAACATTTTATTAAAAACAAATATATATTTTGTTATATAGTTAGATTTTTGAAACATAGATTTTATTAATTTTAAATGTGTATAATAATATTAACTTGGTGAAAAGTACAAAAGTGAACAAATTCACTTAACGCTGACCAATGAAATTATTAATATTCTAGTAAATTTGCTCATTTTTGTAATTTTCACACAGTTGTGCGATACACAATCGACCCTCTGAGCTTACAATATAAATTTATTTCAGAGTAAAGACAGGTGTACCAACATATGTACAATTTTTAAAATATGCTCAAGAACAGCAGCACATACATGAAAAGGTACAAAATGTCACAGATATAATTACAGAAAAAGAAAATACACAACAAAGAGACTCAAAAAACGATACTTGTGAATTAGATATGATAACAGAACAAGAAACAAACACAAGGTATTGTACAATTAATATACATATTTATATATTTTTAAACCTATATAAGAACTTAATGTTAGAGTAATATTACATTTGTTGTACAACAAAATTTTTTAGCATATATTAATTGGTTGCAAAATAGAAACAATTTAGAATCTAGTTTTCTAATCTGTGACCAATGAACATGCTCGAAAAATTTGTCGTGCGACAAATGTAATAATATTCTTAAAATATAAATACATTTTACAGGGATAAAACATGTACCAAACAAAATGTATCAATATTAATGGATTTATTAGAAAAAGAAAAGAAAGAAAAGGAAATGTTAATTAAAGAAAAAAATCAAATACTTAAGGAGAAATATAAACTTATTGAAAATAATATAAAATTAAGTCAACAGGTGGAAAACTTACAGAAAGATGTAGAAAAAAAATCTGAACTTTTAACACAAATAGTAATAGATAAACAAGAGGAAGATGTAATACCTTTACATGCGTTAAGCAATGTTTTTACTTCTGGTCAAATAAAAATTTTGATGTCACAAAAAACAAACACTCTCATTAGATGGTCGTCTGCAGATATAGTATCAGCTACTGCTTTACGGTCCTTGAGTCCAAAAGCTTATCGATATTTACGTAATACAAAGAAAATGCCATTACCTTGTAAAACAACCCTATGTAACTGGTGTGCTTTATTTCGTATTCCACCTGGAATTTTGACAGATGTGCTTAAAATTATGAATGATAAAAAACAGAGCTTTAGTTTACACGAAAGATTGACGGTGTTAACTTTCGACGAAGTATACGTTTCAAATAAAATTGAAATAGAACGGAAGGAACAGAGGATTTATGGATCTCATAAGACATGTCAGTTTGTCTTGGCCCGAAGTTTGTTTTGTAAATGGAAACAGCCAATATATTATGAGTTTGATAAACCTATGTCTACAGATACATTGCTAACAATAATAAATAGACTTTATGAAATTAATTATATGGTTTTGGCTGTGATAAGTGATATGGGGCTAGCGAACATGAAACTGTGGAATAATCTTAATATTGGAATAAATGTTAGCACAGATACTCCGAAAAAGATTGAACAAGAAACCATTGTAAAACAAAATTATATTATACATCCAAGTAATAGTTCATTAAAAATATTTTTTTACGCTGACGCTCCTCACTTAATAAAATTGGCCACGAATAACTTTTTGGACTCCGGCTTTAAAACGAAAGGAATTGATGTTGACAAGACATGCTTAGAAGAAATATTGAGATTAAATTCAGGAGATTGAAAAATAGCTCACAAATTAAGTAGAGCACATTTAGATATAAAAGGAGCACAGAGACAAAATGTTAAAATGACTGCACAAGTTTTCTCAAATACTAACGCATTAGCAATACGTTGGTGCGGAAAAAAGGATCTACTTACTTCTCCACAATGGAAACAAACTGCTGACATACTTAAGTTATTTAATGACTGGTTTGACATTTTTAATAGCAACTTTAAATTTGGGCATTGTACTAGCTCACATGCATATGGTATTAATATAAACGAACAAAATAAAATAATTGCTAATATGAACGAGTTTATTCTGGAAATGCGAGTGGGACGTAGATCAACATTATTGCAGTTTCAAAAAGGAATTTTAGTGTGTAACAAATTATTAGTTGAAATGTTTCCATATATTCTACAAAAATATTCATCTGAAGAATTTCCAATAAAACATCTATTAACAAAAAGACTGAATCAAGATGTCCTAAAAAATTTATTTTTATACTTAAGAATGATGGGTGCAGGATATGATCATCCTACACCTGTGCAATTAAAACATAGATTGAGATGGTATATATTAGGTAAACACTCGGAGTATGTCACTTTAGGTGCAAATACTATAAGAGATGATTCCACTATTCTCACAGAAATTGATGAAGCACATAACAATGTTCATAGTCAAGCAACAAATTTGCATTTCATACCAAAAGAAAAATCAATAGTTATTGAAGAAAAAGGCTTTATAAATACAGAAAAATATAATAAAAATGAGGAAGAAGCAATGGATATCGATATACAAGAAGTTGAAAACAATGAAGGTAACGTAAAAAGTTTGAAATATAAATTTTTATTAATTTATTGTTTAGAACATTATGAATGTGTGTATGTGTGTATATATATGCAGTGTGTGCGTGCATTTTAATCTATTAATAGAAAAAAATACATAAAATATCTAGTATTAGCGTATGTATATATTCTATATTATAAAATTTTCCTTTTTTTTTTTAAATTATTTGAATAAAATTTTTTGTGAATTTCTTTTATTTTAAATTATTTTATCATTTTTCTTTCTATAATGTATGACTACTAGTACGAATATTAATTTGATTTTTTTATTAATTATTTTTTAATATTAATACAGCAAATAAAAAAAAAATTTTTTTTTAGAAATTTGTTTTGTCTAGCTTATTTAGTGAGAAATAGTAATTTAATCGACATCCATTTAACTAGCGGCACACGGTATGTTTTTGTTTTTATTTGAAAAATTAAGGTCCAGCTACTCAGCCTGTACGAAAGACCGCACCATGTAAAGAAGTTAACAACACAGCTAGCAGCATTACTACGACAACTGCCCACACAGCAGCAAGGAAATCCAGCAAATAATATAACATGAAATAAGCATCGTGTGTCGCCGGTTTTATATACATCAATGTTAAAGCCTATATTTATACATCGATATTTATAGTCTGATCTTATATTTAAGATTGTCATTAAGTTTATCTATCAATTAAGTTTATCTATGTGTGTATGGATCATAATATATTTAAAATATATTCAATTTGCTATTTCTTATTGAATAATGTGATATAATTTATTTATATCTATGTTTATAATTTTTTCCATAATTGTCTTCTTATAATTTTTCCAGCAATTGATTTAAGCTGTTATACCCCAACTTTAGAAGAATTAGAAATATTTGAAGCCATTGAACAAAACATAGGCACCGAAATTATCGAAAAAAATGCTTTATTGTATGTTGCTGGATATGTAGCACATAGATTCCGTAACACTTATAGTAATTTAGGCGTCCCTACAAAAACACTTCCAGCAATTTCAGACGATTGGGTTACTTTTAAATTTAGAGGAAATTTCATGTATTCCACTACCGAATTACAAGCAGCAGCAAATATTATGAATTCCGAATTTGAAAAATTTCATTAATTTTTAAAATAAAGAACCATGGATTTTTGATAAATTAATTGATATTATTTGTACAAAAACTAATAATAACTTTTTTAGAGCAGTTATTGCTTGTCTTGTACGTACTCGTACATATATACGATTGCGTAAACTGAATAAAGAAATTGTAGAAAATAATATTTTAAAGAAAAAAATATCTAAAATATGTAATAAAAAAAATCCCACATATATAAGTTAATATATATATTTTTGTACATTAAAAGCAAACTTGGATAAAGTGAAAACAGGAGATTAGAGCGATGGTCAAATTAAGGTGCGGTAATTTTGAGGACGCAAATAAATATTGGCTTGACGAAGAAGATACGAAGTGTAGATTCTGTAAGTCAGGTAGGGACAATTTAGAGTATTATATAAGCGAGTGCAAGATTACAAGTATGTGGTTTGAGAATTTAGGTAGGAATAACGGAGAACGATTAGAGAATATATGCAATAACAAATTTAGAATGTAAAAAGGAAAGGTGCTAAATAGATTATGGAAAAGGAGAGAGGAATGCTACAAAAAAGATAACGATTGTAAATAATGTAAATCATAATGTATTGCGGCTTGTTTGTAAAGAAGAATGTTGTTTGATGCGTGGATGGATGTGTGAGTTAAGTGGAATTGTAAACCAAGTTCTTTTTTGGCGTATAGCTGAAATAAAGACATATATAAATATATTTTTGTACAAAGTACTGTATAAGTATATAATGTAAAATGTAGTGAGAAATAAAAATAACAGCATTTTTATACTACAAATTGTATTATTCCATTGTTCTTTTACATGTTACATACTCTGTCTATATTATATTCTTTTTCTTTTAGTAACACATATACATATACCTTTTGAAAAGATACCTTGTAATTTATTTTAGAAGATTACATAAGAGATAAAATATTTATTATTTATATATTTTTGAAATTTTATATATATTAATATTTTTGTACATAGTTTAAAAAATTTTTACATTTTCTTCTTACAATCTTAATTATAAATAAACATACATTGCTACCGACGAGGTATCTCATCGGTAACATTGATTACGTGATTATTTCCTATTTGAATTTCGCGCGTGTACTTGGACCCAAATTTCATTGGCTAATTTTATCGTGCGACCGCCATATGCGCAATGCTTCACCTTGTTTCTTTACACCATGTTATTATTAACGCAAGCGCGCGCATCGAACACGATAGAATCGCGTGGATTTCGCACGAATAAACAGTATCACTCGACAATTAATTCACGAAAAAAGGGTCAGTCGTGCGACCGACTTATCCGTCAGACGACGGAAGGCTTGCTAGAAGCCAGTAAAGGCGTGAACCATGCTTATTCGAGTAATCGGAGAGTAATATACAAACGTACTTAGCATTCGTGGCTGAATCTGCTTCAACGTAGACGAAGATTACAAGGGATATGGCCCTGAAGTTCTCGTAACGGCAAGCGTCGATTCGTCCTTGGTGGATAACACGCAGTATAGCGTCCTTTCTCGTTGCCTGCCTGGGCGGTGCTTCGCTTTACGCACGATGCGGACGAGTAACACACGCACGTTGTACAGATTGTATACAATTCGGTCCAAATAGTATCGTAGATACCAATAGAATTCACGACTAGGCGTAATTAAAATCACAACACGACATGAAGTCCGCGGCTCGAGTACAGCAGCTAAACGAAAACGTAATATATGTGCGAATTCAGGGATACGCGAAACCGTGGTTTTTCTATACGGCGTCCCGTGATGATCTGACCGCGAGCGGCGCGAGCTTTCGTTGCGTCGCAAGCACGAACCGGATATAAACAAAAGACGATCAGGCCTGGTTTTCTTCTCCGCGCTCCCCGCCGTCGCGAGCCGAGCGCTCGCTATTATATTGATGTCTCTTTCTAGCGCTTTCTTTTTTTCTCGATCGCGCTCGCTTTCCAGAATACTCCAAACAGCATCCGAATTGACGATCTCGGCTGGCGCGCGGATGCGGTCCGCGGGCATCGGGCGCGGGCCGAGAAATTGCCCGAACGTCCGGGCCCCAGTAATTATACAGAATATTTTGTAATATACAAATATTATTATAATACAAATAACTTACTTCTTCGTAAACA